TATATGTTGTGTTAAAATTATATCTTGTTCTAGTTACCCTCTAGTCAGTATAGTAAGTAGGTTTATAAGTTGCCAGTATAAAGGAAATAAGATTGCAAAGGGGAATCTGGAAGTCATATATAAACCATCCCAAAGATCAAAGTAATATAATTTCTGAATTTCATATATTAACCAAAATTCACACCCTAATTATATACGCCAAATCAGGAGAAACCATCTAGGCACTACTTGCTAAGGTTCTGGTCTTATGATATAGAAATTCCAGACAAAATCCAGACCTCCACAGCTCCAGACAGACCAGCAGAACATCAAAAAGGTGCTGATAATTTTGAGATGACTTGAGCTCTTCCCCAAACCCCTCCAAATACCTATAAAAAATGGCTCTAAAAAAATTCTAAAGCAGCAGAACCCACAAAAAGACAGAGTGAAACAAATTTCCAGCCAAAGACAACTTGGATGGTTGATCAGAAAGGTATATCATGCACGGTGGTGAGGAGAGCGCAGTTTGGAGGGGGTGCACAGGCCACAGTGAACCTGAAGCAGGCCTTAGAAGACTGAATTGCAGGCAGCTGTGGCGGTTTCCAGACTTCTCAATCCACGAACGCCAAAGACAGCTTAGAAGGTGAGTGGAAAATGTCTATTTCTGCTGTGAGAGAGGAGCTAGGTCTCAGCCCCAGTTCCCAAGCAAGCATGGCCCTGGGGTGGCAGCTGCCTCCTGAGCTTCTGGCCCACAGACTGAGAGGGAATCAAGTGGCTGATCACAGGGGAATTGCAGGGATCTCTTTGCCAGTGCTCAGGCAGGAATCTCTTGCTTTACCCGTGCTTAGATCTCGGTCACAGTTCTGGGTGGTGGTCCTAGGGTGAGAAGGAGTGCTGCTGTGGTGGAACTTGTAGTGGCTATGGAGAGAAAATCCTCCTCACAGTTCCAAGACAGAAGAGCTTGTGGTCACTTACAGACCAAAGCACAGGCCAGGAAAGGAGTAAACACCTTACCCCTTATCGTACCACCTTGGAAGAACTGAAAATTTACAGTTCCCTAGAAGTATCTCTAAAAACAAGCTGTACAAACCCTCAAAGCTTGGGACAGTACATTCTCCACATTGGAAGCAGACCCTTACCTTAACAAAGAGTTTATAACTCAAGTAATTGGCTACGATCATGAACAAACCTTGCAAGAAGTATCAGACCATAGATTCTTTTTTTTGGTAACAAAGAAGATCAAAACATACAACCAGAAGACAACAAAGTCAAAGCTCCTACATCCAAAGCCTCCAAGAAAAATATGAACCAGTCCCAGGCCTTGGAAGAGATCAAAAAGGATTTTGAGAAGTAAGAGAAGTAGAGGAAAAACTGAGAAGAGAAATGAGAGTGATGCAAGAAAATCATGAAAAACAAGTCAACAGCTTGCTAAAGGAGACCCAAAAAATACTGAAGAAAATAACACCTTAAAAAAGCCTAACCCAAATGGCAAAAGAGGTCCAAAAAGCCAATGAGGAGAAGAATGCCCTAAAAAGAAAAATTGGCCAAATGGAAAAGGAAATCCAAAAGCTTACTGAAGAAAATACTTCCTCAAAAATTAGAATAGAGCAATTGGAAGCTAGTGACTTTATGAGAAACCAAGATACTGTAAAACAAATCCAAAATAATGAAAAATTAGAAAACAACGTGAAATATCTCATTGGAAAAACAACAACCTGGAAAATAGATCCAGGAGAGAGAATTTAAAAATTATTGGACTATCTGAAAGCCATGATCAAAAAAAGAGCCTAGACATCATCTTTCAAGAAATTATCAAGGAAAACTGCCCTGATATATTAGAACCAGAGGGCAAAATAGAAATTGAAAGAATCCACATCTCCTCCTGAAAGAGATACCCAAAGGAAAACTCCTAGGAATATTGTAGCCAAATTCCAGAGTTCCCAGGTCAAGGAGAAAATATTAGCAAGCTGCCAGAAAGAAACAATTCAAGTATGTGGAAACACAATCAGGATAACACAAGATTTAGCAGCTTCTACATTAAAGAACCGCAGGGCATGGAATATAATATTCCAGAGGGCAAAGGAGATAGGATTACAACCAAGAATCACCTACCCAGCAAACCTGAGTATAATCCTTCAGGGGAAAAAATTGTCATTCAGTGAAATAGAGGACTTTCAAGCATTCTTGATGAAAAGACCAGAGCTGAATAGAAAATTTGACTTTCAAATACAAGACTCAAGTGGAACATGAAGAGGTAAACAGGAAAGAGAAATCATAAGAGACTTATTAAGGTTGAACTATTTACATCCCTTCATGGAAAAAATAACATTTATAACTCATGAGACCTTTGTCAGTATTAGGGTAGTTGGAGGGAAACAATTATATGTATGTATGTAGATAGATAGATAGATAGATAGATAGATATAGATATAGATATAGATATAGATAGATAGATACATAGATAGAGGACATAGGATGAGTTGAAGATGAAGGGGTCATATCTGGAGAATAAAATTAAGGAGTGAGAGAGGATTATACTGGGAGAAAGGTCGAGGTAGAATGGGGCAAATTATCTCACACAAAAAAAAAAAACAGAAAAGAAAAGGCAATAGCATACATACTCAATTGGGTATGGAAATCTGTCTTACCCTACAGGAAGATAGGGGGAGAAGGGGACAAGAGAGCAGGGGAAGGATAGAGAGGAGGGCAGATTGGGAAAGGGGGTAATCAGAAGCAAATACTTCTGAGGAGGAACAAGATCAAAAGAAAGAATAGAATAAATGGAGGGATGGGATAGGATTAAGGGAAATAGAGTTAGTTTTTCACAACATGACTACTATGGAAGTGTTTTTCATAACTGCACATGTATAACCTTTTCAGTGAGGATGAGTGGGGTGGGAGGAAGGGTGAAAATTTGGAACCCAAAGTTTTAAAAGCACATGTTTACAAAAAATGTTTTCACATGCAACTTGGAAATAAGAAATACTGGAAATGGGGTACAGAAATCTATCCTGCCCTGCAGGAAAATAGAAGGGGGAAGGGATAAGAGAAGAGGGAGAGAGATAAAATGGAGGGCAGACTAGGGGAAGGGATATTCAGAATGCATGCCATCTTGGGGTGGGGGGAGAGGCGAGTTGGGGTGAAAATTTGGAACTCAGAATATTGTGGAAGTGAATGTTGAAAACTAAAAATAAACATTTTTTTTAAAAAAAGGTAAAAAAAAAAAAAAATAATAACTCCTTAAAAATTCTAATTGGGCAACTGGAAGCTAATGACTCCATGAGATATTAAGACACAATAAAACAAAATCAAAAGATCAAAAAAAAATCCTAGAACAATAGGGTAAAATAGAAATTGAAAGGATCCACTAATCACGACCTGAAAGAGGTGCAATGACATCACAGGGGTGAATTAGACATAAGGCAGAATTGCACAAAGTCATGAGCATCACTCTGTCTTCTAGAATTATCAAAGCCCAGTGGCAAGACAAAAGTCAAGATAATCTGGGCCATGGCCCAGGATGCAGTGGATGACCTTGACATCTTTGATGTCTGACTAAGCTCCAAGTGTTCCACAGTGCCTGCCTCAACTGCCTTCAAGGGTGTTGGAACAAATGGTTTTCATCTGCCCATCCCCCTAGGGGAAGTCTTCACATTCTTGGGATATACACCCCCCTAAGTCAGTGATGGGTTTGAGGCCCCTTGGTTACCTTAAACCTGGTTTAGCCTGTCTGCTGAGATGGTTTACTGGGGTGTGTGGCTGCTGTGCATGCTACAGCTTCTTGGAGCCACATGTGAAAGTTGAGTGCTAGGTAGACACCAAAGGTGGATGAGCAGTCCAGAAAAGGGTTTGCTAAGCTCTCATGCCACAAGTACTAGCCCTCCTTGAATACTCCACACATCCTTTGTAAGGGATTAAGAGAGTAAGAGGGGGGAAAGTGGTGGCACATATTGTATACTTTTTCCAGGAGCTTGGCTACAAAGGGAAGAGATATAGGATGATAGTGGGATGGAAGGATTGAGTGAAGTTTTTTTTTTCTTTAGGATGAGGAGACATGGCCATGTTTGTAGGCTGTAGAGAGGAAGAAATTGAAAATAAGTGAAAGAGTGGGGATGACTGAGGGGACAATCTACTAGAGGAGACAGGAGGAATGAGCTATACTTGAAGAGGTAGAGAGGTTAGGCTTGGTAAGGAATGAGGGCCCTTCATCATGTGAGACTGGTGAAGGAGAAGAACAGAGGGAGATACGATTACAAGGTTTTACACAGGGTTAGCAGTGTGACTGGTCGGTCACAGTACTTATTTTGGCGGTAGAGACAGATTACAGGTGAATAGGGGGTAAAAAGGAAGAATGTATTAGCTTTGGAGTGTTTCCCTGTAGTTTATCTCATCAGACCATCTTGGTAGGGTTTCCACTTAAACCCACTGAATATCTAGGTGGGAGGCCCTCCCTTTTTAGATAGCACCGCAAAACCTTGAAGATTCCATTTCTTTGACCTCTAAGGTTACTATTTCTGGGGAGCTGTCTCCCCCAAACTCACAGCAACGGGTTTTGTATATTTCCTCCACACTATAGAAATGCGCCTCTTGTCTTGCTCTCCTGACGAGATAATCTATTTAAAAGTGTTTTGCAAAAAGTAAAGCGCTATATACCTTCTAGTCATTACTGCTGATATTGTTATTATTAATATTGTTGCCTCCAGGGAGGAAAAGAAAAATTAAATTGTATCTATGCTTTCCCCTTTTCTCCAAACTCAAGAGCAAAGCTGGAAAGCACTTGCTTAGGGACGCTTCCATCCATTGCAAGGAATCGTTGGGGCCTTTCACTATTCAAGGCCTACCCTGCAGGCAGGGAGTACCCCAAACATTTCCCAGGCGATGACTAGAGTCGCCTAGTGATGACGCCCAAGAGGCCCGTCCCTATGGTTACGTCGCACACTTTGGGAGTGAGGGAGGGCGGGGGGGGGGGGCTAGGTGTGAGAGATAGCGGTTTCCTTTCCGCCCCGCCCCCCGCCTCCTCGATAGCCCCGCCCCAGCCCCGCCCCTTCTCCAGGTCCTGAGGCACTGGGGCCGGGAGGCGCTACCCTGCCCGGAATCTCTTCGGGACCCCGGCTGGTCTAGGAGGTCCCGGAGAGCACGGAAGGCTCGGAGGCTGGACGGCAGCTTGAGCCGGTAAGGAGTGGGAGCTCCCGGGCCTTCCTCGGGTGGAAGACTTGTCACAGCTGCGTCCGTCCTTGTCCCTCCACTTCCTCGTGTCTTCGCCGCCCTCCCGCAGTGCCGCCCAGTGTCCCCCGCCGCGCCGACGCTCAGCTCCCTCTCCGTGTGTCCGGTGTCCCCGAATTTCTCTGTCCTCGGTCCCTCGGCCCCTGCGCGTCCTGTTTCCGTGTCTCTCTGTCCTGCCCTGTGACCGTGTCCCCAGGTCATCCTGTGCTGTCCTGTCCGCAGTCCCCGCGCTGGTGACCTCCTGCGTCAGTCCCCGTCTGTGTGTCTCCTGCTTTCTTTTCTCTTCCCCTGTGTCCCCCCACCTTGTGTCTGTGTCCCTCTGTGCCCTTGAACTCTGCCCCATCCCTGTAGCTTCTCCATCCCCCTCTTGTCCCTGCCCCGCCTCCTGTCTCACGGTCTATGTGTCCCTTTGACCCCTGGGCCCTTGCACTCTACCCGCCCCGCCCCCGGGTCCTTATCTTCCATTCTCTCTGTTCCCAGCTTCTCTATCTCTCCCTGTTTCACTGTCCATGAGTCTCTTTGCCCCTCTACATCCCCATGCCTCACTCTTTGAAGACCTTGTGAGTCTGTTTTTCTGCAACCTGACTTTCTGTACCTGAGTGTCCCTGGTTCTTTGCCTCCCTGTCCCTCCCATATCCATGTTTTCTCCATACTTGGTGTTCTTCTGGGACCTCAGATCCCTGTATTTTTCTGGGTTTCTGGCATTCTTTATCTCCTGTCCTTCTGTGTCTTCTTGTCCTCCTTGCCTGTCTCTAAATATTCCCCTGCTTATTCTAACCCTTTGTATCTCCCTACTGTTTCTGAATCTCAGTTTCCCCATTTCTAAAATAGGGAGGTTGAACCAGATAAGGAATTCTTACCTTTTTCTTTATGAACTTCTTTGGCAATCTGGTGAAGCTTATAGGCTCCTCAGAATGTTTTTAAATATTTAAAGGGAATGCTACATTTCAGGTAGAAGTTAGTAACAATAAATATGTATTTTTATTTTCATTTCATTCGTATTCAAGGATCCCCTGAAATCTAAACAGGGTCAGTGGTCCCTAGGTTAAGAACCCCTAGAGAAGAAAAATAACTTCCAAGGCCCCTTCTAACTCTAAATTTGTTGTTCTTGTGATTCCTGTCCCATATGTCCCTGTCCCCTAGTGTTCTGATCCCTTGGTGTCTCTCTGTCCCATTTCTCCCTGTGCTTCTGTCTGTTCTTTGTGTCTCTTTGTCTCTCTCTCTCTGTGCCCCAGATATCCAATGCCTCCTGTGTTTGTAATCTTCTGTACTTTTCTGTTACCTTGACCTTCTGGGCTCCCAAGACCTGAGTCCTCATCTCTCTCCCTTTCTTATGAGTTATGTCTATGGCTCTTTCTGTGAAGAGAGGCAGCATGGAGGTAGAAGAATGACTATTTAATTAGGAGACCTGTAACAAAATCTCAGCTTTAACTCTCTGGTCTTGGGCAAGTCACTGTACTTGCCTTTCAGCTTCCTCATTAGTAAAATGGATACTTAAACTTCACAAGGTGGTGGGGGAAATGCCTTGTAACCCTTAAATCACTATAGAAATAGGAGTATCATCATCATTAATAAAAATAATGATAATTATTTAGAAATCACTACACTTTATAGACTGATCTGTAGGCTAGTTGCCATTACCATTCCCTGGGCTGCCTCATATTACCTGTTTTGCCTGGATTCTCAGCTGGTAAAAGAGCGTACAACTCTTTGCCTAAAGAATTCAGGATGGGCCTGTACGATTGTGGAAGATTGAAAGAGACCTAACAACTGGAATAATTCTTCCATTTTATAGATAAGGTATGAAAGGTGATCATGATTATTACAAAAGATTAAATCATGAGAAGTATAGAAAGCATGATAATAAGCTACAACAGGAGTCATCCTTTAAAGCTGCTCTGTGAGGGAGGTAAGAATAAGTAGTTTTTCACTTAACTGTAGTTCTGATCATCTAGTACTCAGGGGACTTGAATCTTCAGGCAGCCAAAAACTCCATAAGCTAGAAGTCATCTGTGGAAACTGAAGATGTTGAGGATGAAAGATAGATACTGAAGACGTCATTTTGAAGGATTTGAGTAAAATAAAGATGTGGAACTTGTAGTGGCTGACCTGCTTGGATTTATAACTAATGTAGTTATATAATATTGTGTATTGTAACTATTTGTGTTGGTGTTGTATTCCTTTGCTAGACCACATACTTCATCAGAGTTTTAGGTCAGACCACATTAGATCTAAACTTTGTGTTTCTACTAGTTCTAGGACAGGGCTCTCTGCTCACAGCAGGTTTTTTTTTTTTAATAATACTTTATTTTTACTCAATTACATGTAAAAAAATCCTTTTAACATTCTTTTAAAAACAGTTTTGAGTTCCAAATTCTGTCCTTCTCTCCCTCCCTGAGAAGGTAAGCAATCTGATATAGGTTATACATGTGCAATCATGTAAAACATTTCTACATTAGTTGTTTTGTGCAAGAAAACTCAAACAAAAAAAAAAAGAAAGGAAAAATTTGTATGCTTCAGTCTGTATTCAGAGGACATCAGTTCTTTCTCTGGAGGCAGATAGATTTTTCATCATGGTTCTTTTGTGATTGTCTTGGATCATCATATTGCTGAGAATTGCTAAGTCATTCACCATTGTTCATCATACAGTATTGTTGTTACTATGTACAATGTGTTAGGAATAACTTTTGTTGGGAAAAAATAAAAGCTCTTGAGGTAGATGAGGCAAGCTCATTTATTATACGTTCTTGCAAGAGGTGGGTGCTGCTAGAGGCAGACACACCCTACGGAAGCAAAACAAGCAGTTATATTGCTGTCCTGAAATGCAAGTTTCCCCCCCCCCATTTCTCCGTTGGCTGTATACTTCGAGGTGTACAACTCCCTGGAATGCCTATTTCATATTACTCCTTAATATGTTTTTCGCTCCCTCTACATACAACATTGTGCCTAAAATTGTGTTAATCTTCCTCCTGGGGAGGAGAAGATAATACTCATAGACTCATTGCATGTGCAGTTTGAGCAATTTGTAACCTTTTGTCCTACTTTCAGCGCTTTTAACCACACTACTAGTTTTGAAAAACAATTCTGAGTAAAACTGCTCCTTTCACACCTGTTATTTGACTGTAAGACTACTTCCTCTACATCTGTGGAAACATAATTTCTTATACTTTACACAGTGTTCTGATTCTGCTCACTTCACTCTGTATCAGTTCACGTAAGTCTTTCCAGGTTTTTCTGAAGTCCGCCTGTTCATTTTTATGGAACAATAGTATTCCATTATGTTCATATACCACGGCTTATTCAGCCATTCCCCAACTGATAGGCATCCCCTCAGTTTCCAATTCTTAGCCACCACAAAAAGAGACGCTATAAATATTTTTGTGCAAATAGGTTCTTTTCCTCAAAGTAAGTTTTTGATAAACAGACTTGTACTTTGTAGTATAACATGATGTCATTTGCGACATTTGCAGGCACTTCACAAATTTGGATTTGCATTGTGCATGGATTACTGTCCTCCATACAAGTCATTCGCCAATGCCTCAGTCTGAGGAAAAGCTGACTTTGGGTTCTTGAAGCCTGTACCATCAGAATGCAAATTCTAGCAGGTTTTAACAAGCAGAAATGGGAAGGCATTCTGTGAGAGGGAGATGGCCAGAGAAAAGGGAAAGATGGAGGAAAATGCAGGGTATGTTTGGGTAATGGTGAGTTGTGCAGTGAACTGGAGTGTAGGATATGTTTAGTGGAGGGATGTTATATAAAGTTGGAAAAATTAGAAGGGTGCCATCTCATGGACTACCTTAAATGCTGGACAAGGAAGTTTATACTTTATTCAGTTGGCATTGAATAGCCAGTGAAAGTTTTTGGAGAAGGGAATGAATGGAATATTAAAAAGTTTTGAATGAAAAAAAATCAGTGCAGCTAGGATAAGGTAAAATTTCAAATCCAGAAAAAAATCTTTGCATTATATATCGCTGATAAAGATCTTATAATCAAGAGTTTATATTATATATACACACACTTATATGTCACCAAAGAATAGAAATAATTCTCAAAAGAATTGCAAACTACTAATAACCACATGAAATTTTGTTCCAAATCACTAATGAGAAGAGAAATGCAAATTAAAACAATTCTTGGGTTTCACCTCTCTCATCAAATTGGCAAAAATGACAAAAGAGAGAAATAGTCAACATCAAAGGGGCTTTGAAAAGATTGGCACAGTAAGAAACAGTCGGTGGAGTTGTGAATTGGTCCAATCATTTTGAAAAGCAATTTGGAATTATGTGATAAAAGTGACTCAAATGTCCATACCCCTTGACCTCAAGACCCCCCTCTTAGGGATATATCCCAAAAAAGTTAAAGATACAAAATAAGCTCCAACATATTGTATTCACGGCAGTAATTTTTTGTGAAATTTTGTAAAGTCAAAGAATGGTAGCAAAGTAGATGCCTATCGATTGGGGAATAGCTAAATAAATTGAAAAAAATGAACATAATAGAATATTATTGTATCTTAAGAAATGAGAAATATAGGGAATTGAGAAAAACAATGGAAATCTGATGTGAGCTGATGAAGTAAACAGAACAAGGAAAACAAGATACACACTGTCTACAACAGCGTAAATGAATAGCACCATAAACTGAAGCTGAATGCTATGGAATTATAGTAATCAATCTTGACTCTGGAAAAGAACTGAAGGAATACATCTTGCTCTTTTCATTAGAGAAGTAGTGGGAGATGGGTGCCTTGTGGGTGTGTCATATTGCATATGCTGCCCGATCGTATCTATCTGTTATAAGAGAAAGCTCAAAGATGGTAAAGGAGGAAGACATTTATCTGGAAACGAATAGGAACTGAAAATAAAAGGCATCAATTAAGCTTATTAAAGAAAGGAATGACTTAGTAGAAGCAGTTCTTTAAAAAAAAAAAAAAAACAAACATTAGAAGCAGGGAGCCTAGAGGCAGAGAGAGACTGGTTAGTTTCTGCCTATGGCTCTGTGAGAGACTTTCATTGGCAAAATGCATTTATTCTGAAGTTAAAATAATGTACCATCATCTCTCTGGAAGTGAGCTAACTGACAGCTTTACCAATCTGAACCATAGTAGATAGCCAAAAAGTAAGACAAAAGAGTCTGAAAAGCTGGTATAGACTAGCAATAATTTTTGAGGTTCCTTTCAAAAGAAAATCCAGAGGCAAAGTCAGCTACCCCTACTTCTAATCATTTTTTTGTTTTTATACCAGACCTGTGATTTTAACTGGTGGAGGGAGGTCCATAATGCAGGTCAACACCTGCTCCGCCAACAAGTGATACTAAACAAAACCTGATCTTCCAGCTCTCATCTGTGCTCAGAACATGACTGTGTGTGCTGGAACCTGGGAGCTGGGAGAAGTTGTCTGTTCACAATCTCTATCTGCCTTCATGCTCATACGTGGGCTCCAGACCAAGTGGGGAGCTTTGTCTCCCCCTAATGTTCCACTGAAACAAATTCCCACTGTTGCTTCTCACTCCAATCATGCCCTCCAGTTTGCACTTTATTCCAAGACACATGTCAGCTCTGTACCTAGTTCCTGACATTATTTAAGGTCCCTTGTGGGTATTTCAATCACTTTTTGCTCCCCCTCTCAGCCACCCCTCTAAGTGTAACTTGTGATCAAATCATGTTGGGGAACCACTGAAAATCTGAGTAAACACTGACATTGTCATAACAGTGCCTTAGGAGGATCCTTGGGCAGATGTGTAGGGGATGAGGCAGAGGAGAGACAAATTGAAGGCGGGAAGGCTTTGGGAATCGTTACAACATTCCAAGCGAGAAGAGACGAGGGACGAGAGCTTGCATTGTGGTGGTGGCAGCGGGAAGTAGTAGATGGGACTGATGTTGCAGAGGTCAAACTGATGAGACGTGGCTGAGGAAGGAAGAAGTGCCACCAGAGTCTGACGTGTGTGACTGGGAAAATGGTGTTGTTGAAAGCAGAAACAGAGTAGTTAGGGTTCTGAGAACCATTCTCTTGCCTCACTTGTGCAAGTCTCAATATTTCCCTGTGTGTGTCTGTGAGAGAGAGATTTTTCCTTCCTATCGATGGTGACTTGAAAGTAGAGACTATCATGCTTATATTCATATCTTAGATGCTCAATAAATACTTATTGAATTTGTTGAATTCTGTTGTGAAACTTTTCCAGAGCATATCATGGCTTCTTCTTTTTTCCCATCTGTTGTATCTATCCAGATTCTTTTACACCATCTGGCATATCTATAGGAGCCTCAACAGAGGTGTGGGAAGGAATTCTTTCTTGGACCAGCTGTGGAAGGAAAGCCCCGAGCCCTTTGCCTACCCAGCCTCTCCAGTTGGTACATCAGATTTCCCAGCTTGTGCTATTTCTTTACATTCAGTGTAGTAGAGGCTACTGACTAAAGAATCATAAAGAAAAAAAAGAGCAACCCTCTAAAGTAACAGCCAGTTCTTAAATTAGTTTTGTTTTATTTTATTTTATTATCATTTTTTGGAGGGAATTTGGGTTAAATGATTTGCCCAGGGTCACACAGCTTATATGTATCTGACACCAGATTTGAACTTAGATCCTCCTGACTCCAGGGCCCGTGCTTTATCCGCTATACCACCTAGGTGCCTCTTAAATTAGTTTTAGATATACATAGTTATTGGAAATCCTGGCGTAGTTTTTTTAGGCTAACAAATCATTTCTCGATATTTATTGAAAATTCCACATCTGCCCAACACATGCCACATTTGACGGCATCACAGGCTCTCAGAGTTGGAAGCCATCCACCATGGCATCCCTGACAAAACTGTCATCCAGCTTTAGCTTGATGTTCTTTACTGAGGAGGAGGAACCTTATCCCTCCCAAGGGCAGCTCATTCCTCACTTGGATAACATGAATGGCAAGGAAGTTTTTTTTTTTTCTTAAATTAAGCCTGAATTTGCCCACCTTTAACTCCTAGTTCTGCTGTCTAGGGCTAAACAGAACAAGTCTGATTCCTAACATTTCTTCACATTTGTGACTTGTGTGTCAGGGTACACTTAAACAGATATTGAGTAAGGACCTACAACAGAATACAATGTTAACTGCTGATGGGCGTTAAAAGCTGCTTTCATGGGAGTGTTGTTTTAGGGAATGCTTGTTTTAGCTAAAGTGTCTAATAAGCTTCCCTATTTGTTATGAGCTATATAGATACAAACCTAACAGTATTAACTGATTTCTTTTGCAGAATAATTTCCAAAATGGCACCAAATTCTAACGGAAATGATTACAACCAAACCTCTCAGGATGCTTTGTTGCCAGATCTCCCTAAAGGACCATTATGTATGTACAGAGCAAAATCATCCTTCAATTGGAAGGAACTGTTGTTATTCTTAGATGGAGAAGATATGATCATTTTAAAGGTGAGATCCTTGTTTGACATTGTGTATAATGTATGAAGCACTTGATTGTGTTGTCACATTGGGGTTTATTTTTTCTTTACCAAAAAAACTGTGACGGATGGGGAAACTGAGACTTAGGGAGATTAAGAAATTAAAGGTTAAAAAGGTTACCTAATGAATGAGTAGTAGAACTGAGGCTCAAACTCAGGTCTTTTGACATCAAATCTAGTGTTGTTTCCACCATCCCAAAGGAGCATGGTGTACTCTTTTACAGTGTGACATACTTTAGTTTCAAATTCTCTTTCCAATTTACCACAATTTATAAATGATGGGATTTGAATTACATCTTTATGTAGCTAACTTAAAGTATGAGTAAGTATTTAAGTAGGCAGGCTATTTAGAGATCACAAGTCTGACTTAATGACATTTAAAGATCATATGTTCTGACATTTTGCAACTAAATTTGAACAAAAGAAGACTGTATCTTTAATAACTGAGGACTCCATTTTGATGTCATTAGAAACTATAACAGTGTGTTCTGAATATCTTTCAGGTAACCAGAATAAAAATCCTATTGATACAAAGTAAAAAGTGTCCCCGACAAGATTGGCGATAGTCTCACTGTCCTATATCCCATCCAGGCCACATCTGAGATAGTGTGGAGGTTCTCGGCCTTGCATTTTTGCCAGGGCATTGACAAACATAAGCGGAGGGAACACCCAGGATAAGGAATAGCATCAAGATTTTGATGTAGGAGGATTGAGTGGAGGAACTAAAAGTATTTAGCCTAAAGGAGAGAAGACATAGAGAGGACAAGGTGTAGCTGGCTTCCATTTTTTAAAGGACTGCCATGGGGAAGAAGGCCTGGATAACACCTGGAAGCAAGGAGTGAGATTTTTATGGGGATGGATTTTAGTTCATCATAAGAAAAACTAGGAATCAGAGAGATCAAAAGGGAAATAGGTTGCCTTGGGAAGTAGCAGGTTTCCCTCTTGTTAATGGTATTGTAGAAGGAATTCTTGATTATATGGGTGGATGAGATTGCTTTTGAGGTTCCTTTTAACTCTGAGATACTTTGGTTTTTATAATGCCTGGGAGCCCTTCTATCTGAAAGTTCCTGTGATTCAAACCCCCCCCCCCCCATGTACTTAGTGATGTGCCTAAGTCCTATAGGAACTGTGAGTGACACGTCCCTTATTTGGGTTTGGCAGAACTGCCAGGACCCAGAAGCAGACTGTAAACCGACAGATCAAACCTAGAGTAACAACAGCTCTCCTGCCATACCTGAGCTTGTCAGAAACTAGACCTGAAGAAAACGAAGGGTTCAGTTCGTTTGCCTGTGATTTTTTAGTCTTTAGTACTGTTTTCTTTTCTGTTCAAGAAAAGAATCTTCTCAGCCTTTGAAAATGATCCCCTCTTCGCTCATCACCCTGGAGAAGAATTGCCTATTGAGAAGTATCGTGAGCTAAACTTTCTGCGCTGTAGAAGACTTTTTGAATACAACTTTCTTAATTTACAAGAGATGATGAAGAATCCACTGAAAATTTTTATGCTGATTAACTGCCTAGGGATGTATGATTGGTCCTTATCTGCCAAATACTTTTTAAATTCATATGTAAGTATACTTTATTTTCTTTTTAAAGAGGAGACTAATAACATAAGTTTTTCCATTTCAAAGAATCATGAAGACCTACTCTGGTAAAGGTCCTAAAATAAAATGTCTAAAAAAATTGAAAGATATTTTAACATTTAAGCCTTTTTCTTAAAGGAAAAAAGAAACCTGTCTTGTAGAATTAAAAGCACTACCTTCACCTTTTATGGCCACTTACTTAGGTTCTTATGGGAATATATTATGGATACCTTTTGTTCAAGGGGAATTTGAAACTGTAAAAGAGACTGGGAGGTGGAATTGGTAAGTATGAGCAGAGCTGGTGCTTTTGACAGGAAAGCCATTTATCCTACTCCTAATATATGCAATGCTGCACAAATACATTATTAAATTTGTATATACAGACAAGACACGTGAATTAATTACAGTAGGATGATGATGATGATGATGATGATGATGGGTCTCCAAGCCCACCTTCTTGAGAAAAGTCTCTCTGACCTTTGTTAGGGTAGTCCTTGAATGCACTAAAGTCTTTCCAGCTGGGTAGAACCTGTCATACTTGTCTTTCACTGACTTAGCTTTTGAGAACCCAGGGCAACAAGTAGGTACCAGAATAGAACTTTAGTAGATAAATAATAATAACCATTAGTCTTTGCAGTATAGAATGCTTTAAAGTTATAGTGCTTTCTCACAAAAGACCTGTAAGGCAGATAGAGCAGCTATTATTATCTCTGTTTTACAGGCAAGGAGTATTGAACTGAGTGAGAGCTTAAAGGATTTGTCCATGATCACAAAGCTAGTACATCTAGAGATTCTAACCTGAGTTTCCCAATATATCCAGCACTGTTTTCATTCCACCTCTATGAAAGCCATGGTGCTAAAAGGACAGTTATGTTTTCTGTTCTTTAAGATTATTACCCATGTTTGGCCTCTTATATTCTTTAATTTTCACAAATTAAAGAAATGAAAATAAGTCAGAGTGTCTACATCTTCCTCCTCTTGTCTGATGGCATGAAAGGTTTCATAGAAACAAATGCAGGCCTTTTCATTTCTGAAATAACACATTCTAGCTTTATATTGTTTTATTGTTTTTTTTCCCCTACCCATTCATGATCCTTTTCAGGTTTTAAAAATTCAATTTGAATTCTTTCTTACAAATCAACTTCTTTGGGTCAGAGATAATGTTTTACTACTAATATGTACTCAGGTTCTTAGGTAAGTATTGTAGTTCCTAATGTAGGAATCATAGGGAAAGGATCATAGAATTTTAGAGACGGAAGAAATACAACTCCAATCATCTGCTCCATTTTTCTCATTTTACATATGAGGAAACTAAGGCCCAGAGAAGAAAAAAGACATGGCAGAGATCACATAGGATACTCTGTGGCAGAGCTGGGATACAGTTTAACATTGCGTATTTAATTGTCAGTATTGTATTTTCAGGTTTTTGCTTCTACTATTCTGAATTCTGGGTCTCAAAGACATATACATTTTATTCAGAAAACCTTAAACATGGAGGTAAGTTTAAACTTAAGTGATAGATTGAATTCATTTTCTTTTGTTCTCTGTTTCATTGAAAATTATAAAAAGGGGAAAAATATAGATGAGAGTCTTCAGAAAGGGCAGTGTGCATGTTGTAGGAATGAATGGTTAGCTCTTTCTGCCATTTTGGGCCTCAAGCTACTTTACCTATACTCTCAAAGGGTAAAATTCTAATATTCTCTGAGCAAGCACTTCCTCAATGACTACTCTGTGAATGTTATTATAAAGCATAGTGGAGGAGAAACCTAAAACTATCCCTCTTTCTCCCATTGTACTCAGAAAGAATTGTGATGTCCATAGTGTGAGTACCCCTTCTCCAAGGCAGATTCCAACCCGTGGTCTACTTGGCTCCAAGTGTCGTATTCTGACCACTATGCAATGTTTTTGCTTTCTTCAGAACATCTCTTTTTATTTGCCAATTTATTCCAGTTAGATTGGGTATCGCTGTTTCATTAACAGCTTCAGGCCAACCAACAGAGTGACTTGTAGTAGTGCTCCTTAGCACACAATTTCATTCCAAGGAAAGAATTTAGATGAATTACAGATTAGTTGTATTGGGATAGTTTTCTGGACTTGTGACATGTTCTTCGAGAAAGAGAGAGTGATGGATTTTCCCTACCCCTGCCAAGCTCCATCTGATCAATTCCTGTTGTATCCTTCAAGGACCCACTCAAATATCAACTTTCTCTAAATATTTTCACCTCAAAAAGCCACGAGTTTTTTTTTCCTCCTCTGAACTGAGGAGGAGTACTCCACATTTCTTTCATTCAGTTTTTACATTTTATCTTATGTTGTAGTTATTTGTGTTCATGTCTTACTTCCCCTATTGGCTTGTAAACTCCAAGAAGCAGAAACCTTGTCTTCCTCTTCTTAGATCCCCAGTGTGGGACGTAGAGATCTGAATACATTTTTGTTGTATTGAATGGAGATGAAAAGTAAATATGTTCATTCTTCATTGACCTTGTGCTTGAATATTTAGATTTTTGGATGTTTTGCTCTGACTGAAGTAAGTCATGGGAGCAATACAAAGGCTATTCGAACAACTGCCCAATATGATCCCACCACTCAGGTTAGTATTACTGCATGGGTCTTTAGGTTCATAATACAAAAATGTCTAGTTGAATATTAATTTAAAGCTTTTAAGGTCAAAAATAATGTTAATAATTTGCATTAATAAATATACATGTGTTAGCACATCATGAAGGGAAATAAGTAATTAGGAAATAGAATATATTTGGGAATCAGAATCTGTTCATAAGTATGGATATTTTTGAAGGAATTTTTAGTAGTGGCAAATATGTGTTGGGGGAGCAAGAAAAAAAGTGTATGTTGACCTCCAACCCAATTATCTTTTGAAGTAAACTTCCCTTTAAGATTTTCCCAGTAGCCAATAGCAGTACAAAAGATGTCAGTGTTGAAGAAAAATCATGAGGTGCCCTTTGTCCCAGAAGCAGATGATTTCAAAAAGCTATGCATCTTAACATCCTTTGACTTTACTTTGAGTACACTCTGTTCGGAGGCAGTAATCTGTGCAGCAAAGCTGCTTTGCAAGTGGTCCTCATCATCTCTCTTTGCCTAGGACACTCCAAAGAGCTTGACAGGTTCCTTTGGTCAGTGAAGAAGTTTGGCATAGGATGACGTTGTGTCTTTGTGCTGTGATGACAGGTGTTTCTCAGCTTCTCCGTTAACTGTTTCTTCTGCTGATGGTTAAAGGTGGGGCATGGCTCAGAATGTTGAATTTTACACAGAAGTCTGCTAGCTAACTTTCATAGCAGGCTACCTACTGACTGGAGGCTTTGATATCCTAGGGCCAGTATGGCCTCTGACAGCCCTAAATAGCAGGATCCCACAAAAGTAAACCTGTCTTTAGGGCACACAGATGAGAGGACCTTTTTGTCCCCTACTAATGCAATGTAGTTAGCTGTACCAAGTATAAAGGTACAGATCATCTGGTGCTGTGTTCTCTATACAGTCAGTATTCCCTAAGTGACTCCATTCAGATACTCAATGACAAATTCCTACAAATGCTCACTTGCAGTCACTGTCTTCTGAGGAAGCTCTTCTGAGTGCTGAGGTACTGTTATTTCTGAAGACAACACAGCAGCAGATGAACATTCAAGACTATACTTATAAGAACACTCTCTAATGTATAGTTTATAGGAATCCATTTTTCTTTAAACATGGAGACTGCCGGTGGTATGCTTCAGGACTTAAAGGAGACTTCACGGGGTATGTTCCCTCTATCCACATAGATCCAAGTTACACTTTGTGCCTTAGTAAGTGGTCTTGGTGAGTTGCTATAGCCAAAAAAATTACTCATGCATCTTACTAAATTTATGTGAAAAAAAAATAAAAGAAAAAAAATAGGGCAGCTAGGTGGTGCAGTGGATAGAGCACCGGCCCTGAAGTCAGGAGGACCTGAGTTCAAATCCAGCCTCAGACCAAACACTTGGCATTTACTGGCTGTGTGACTGGATAGAGGGAACAGGCCCAATTGCCTAAAAAAAAGAAAAAAAAAAGAAAAAGTAAATTTATCTGGGCTAGTCCTCAGATAACAGAAATAGAGTACGTGGCTGGGTCTGTATTTGAGGCTTCTGGTGAACCTTTGTAAGGTCAAAATCCATTGTCATGACCTTCATGAACCCAGGGTCCTTTCCACAACATGGTAAGGGGATACAAATAGGGCTTTTGGCCTATGTTATTTCAAGGCCAGGGCTGTGTTAGCAATAAGATTAATGGCCCCAAATGTGTGCTCTTATACAAATTATCATAAATATGTAGTCATTTAAAAATTTGCGAAAAGTATTATAAGGTCATTTGACCACATCAGCAAAACATTGTGAAATAGCGCATTTAAAAAGGAAAATATGCCCACAACATATGTTCGGTTTCCTTACTAGTCCTTTTTGTACTGTGTAGGAGTTCATCATCAATTCTCCTGATTTCGAAGCTTCCAAATTTTGGATTGGTAATATGGGAAAGAGCGCCACTCATGCAGTTGTGTATGCCCAGTTATACACCCCAGGAGGCCAGTGCCGTGGATTGCATTCCTTTGTTGTACAGGTATGAATATATTATTTAAATTTTCCTCATTTTTCTTCAATAAGCAAAATTCTTTCCCTCCTGCCTTTCCCTTCTCCTCTACCTTAGGGGGAAAAACAAACAAACAAACAAGAAAACAAAACAAAACAAAACAAAAAACCCCTGTAACGATGTGCAAAGGTCAAGAGAATTATCTGAAGTTACATAACTGGTAGGTGGCAAATTCAAGCAAAATTAATTTCCCACATTGGCCATATCCAAAAAATATATGTCTTGGTATGCACCCTGAGTCTGTCGTACCTCTGTCAGGATGTGGGTAGCAGGCTTCATCTTCAGTCCTCTGGAATCACAGTTGATCATTAAAGAGTCCTTAAGTCTTTCAAAGTTCTTTATGTGGTTGTAGTTATTATATAAATTGTTCTCCTAGTAGTGCTTGTTTCATTTTACATCAGTTCATACGAGTCTTTCTAGGTTTCTCTGAAACTGTCATCTTCATTCCATTCTATTATGTTCATATACAGTAATTTGTTTAGCAATACATTCGTCCCATGTGACAGGTGCTCCTTAGTTTCCAGTTCTTTACCACCACAGAAAGAGCTGCTATGAATATTTTTGTACTAATGGGTCCTTTTCCTCTGTCTTGATATGTTTCAGATCTACTAGTGGTATCACTGGTCAAAATATATGTACATAGTTTAGTAACTTTTAAAAAAAATTTATTACTTAGTTATTTTTAGTATTCATTTAGTAATTTTTTGAGTTCCAAATTTCCTCCAGTCCCATGTTGCCAAAAAAAAAGCAATAAAATGAAGAAAGTAAAAATTTTATTTCAATCTGCATTTAGACTTCATCAGTTCTCTCTCTGGAGGTGGGGTAGATAGCATTTTTTCATCATGGGTCCCTTGGAATTTTATTAGATCATTGTATTGACCAGAGTAGTTAAGTCTTTCACAGCTGATCATCACACTTTACTGCTGTTATTGTGTACACTGTTCTCCTGGTTCTTCACTTTGCATCAGTTCATGTAAGTCTTCCCATGTTTTTCTGAAACCATCCTGCTTGTTGTTTCTTATAGGATAACGATATTTCATCACTAGTTTAGTAACTTTTTGGGCGTAGTTCCAAATTGTTTTCCACAATGGTCAGACCAATTCATGGATCTACCAGCAGTGCTTAATGTGCCTGTTTTCCTACAGCCCTTCCAACATTTGTCATTTTTTTTGTCTTTGTTGCCAATTTGATGACTCTGAGTACCTCGGAGTTGTTTTAATTCACATTTCTCTAATTATTAGTGATTGGGAACATTTTTTACGTGACTTTTGAGTACTTGGATTTTTTTCTTTGAAAACTTCTTGTTCATATCCTTTTATCTTTTATTTGGGCAGTTTTTTAATTGTAGAAAATCATAGGCTTTCAGAGCTGGAAGGAATTCTGATTCCTAAGGTGATATCTCATCTTTACATAGTCTTGTGGTTACAGAATACATCAACATCTGTTATCCACTTGAAAGGTGTTATGCTCCCCATATTACATATAATGAAATTGAGACTCGGGAAGGTCTCACAATCAGTACCTAGAGTTACATAATTGGTAAGTGGCAAATTCAGAATTTGAACTTAATCTGACAAGTATTTAGTATCTGTTATGGACTCAAGGCATCACCTTATGATCCTGATGTCTCTCCTCTGGACACTCCAGTTTATCAATATCCTTCTGAAACTGGTACCAAGAAATGAACAAATAAGGTCTGATGAGGACAGAATATGGTGGTACTGTTACTTTCTTCTTCCTTCAAGCAAGGCCTCTCAGTGCAGCTCAGTCAGCATTTTTGGCTGCCATCACCCTGCTGATTCATATTGAGCTTGCAATCCACTAAACCCCACCCCACATCTTTTTCAGAGTAACTACTACTAACTGTGCCTCCTCTATTTTTTTGGTATCCAAGTATAAGACTTTGAATTTGTTCCTATTGAATTTCATCATATTAGATTAAGCCCAATGCTGAAGCCTAACCAAAGCCTTTTGGATCCTGACTCTTTAATGCAGTGTATTAGGTATCTCTATCAGGTTTGTATCATCTGAAAGTTTGAGAATACCATCTATGTTTCTTACTTAGGCCAATGATAGAAATGTTAAATAGCATACAATCAGTCACAGATACTTGGGATATTCCACTAATGATCTTCCATGTTGACATTGCATCATTAATAATTAACTGTCCTTGAGTCTGGCCATTTAACCAGTTCTTGTATCCATTTGCTTGATTGTCCACATCTCTCCATCTTCTCCACGAGAATAGTATGAAATAGTTTGTCAAAAGCTTTGCTAAATTTAGGTAAACTACATCCATAGCCTTCCCTCTTCTACTAGCATCCCCCTCCTTGCTATTCCAGTAAAAAAAAGGCAATGAAGTTAATCTGACTTAACCTGTTCTTAATGAAACCATGCGGGTTCTTGCTTATCACCATTTCTTTATGTTTACTAATTATCTCTTTAATAATCTACTCTAGATATGTAGAAAAGGGATTCCAGGATAGAAAAGAGTGTGAAGTTGGACTGCAGGGTTGAAACTGAAGGGAAGAATGTGAAACCAGGGGAAGGCAAGGGGACCCCGAGAACAGAGAAAGGTGGAAAGTCCAAAGGTTATAGGAAGATTGAGAGGATGACTAGTCAGGCTAGGAAGGGTGTGTCAGGGGAACATGGAAGGGTAGAAAGCTATGATTAGAGAAGTAAATTTTAGAATTCTGGATTTTGCAAGTAATACAGTTATGGGTGATAGTAACATCTAAGACATGACTTTCATCTTATTCACCAGTGGGTGGCTAAAGTGGAGTGAGAGTATATATAGGTCAAGGGAGTTGAAGAGGTTAATGAACTGGGAGGGAGGGTGCTTTTGGGGAATCAGATTTTATGTTGAAATATGATAGCAGGGGCTGTGGTGAAGAGGGCTTGACAGAAAATGGAGAACAACCTGATGGCCTATGGATGACTGTAAGAAGGATCTGAACTGGGGCAGTGAAGGGGGGGAGATTGCTAGTAATGATGGCAAATGAATAGTCTGGAAATGGCAGTTGGGGCAAAGAGTAGTCCCAGTTCTCCTCTTGGTCTAATGTGTTAGGAGCATAAGAAGGACACCCATTACTGGAGAAGGTGGCCAAGAATGTAATGCCTTCTGGAAGGAGAAAGGCTTTCATGATAGTAAGATTGAAATCACATGGAAAGATGCTTGGAATGAAGGAAGTTTATTCAGAATGTGGCAGGAGTATCAGAAGGCACAATGGAAGGGGGAAAATGATGGGTTCTTTTGAGGCTGAAGACTGTGATCAGTGAGAATAAGAGAGCAGGAGAATTAGCACATAAAGGGGACTTTTGCCTCAGTAGATCAAGACTTAATTATAGGAATTGGTCAGACTGTAGTTCCTCATATACCAGGAAAGAAAGCATTGAGCCAGCAAGGAGGTTGGGTCTAGTGTCTGTTGGGCAAAGACCTAGTGGTCACAACCCCAGGGACCTAACTGAACTCATACTTTTTTTGTCTCATCCCAAGATGAATGGGGATGGTGCATGCTCAGAAGATATCCTGCATATAGAATATGCAGTTGGGTCTGATTGGGCCTCATGTCCAAGGCTTTGGTGCTATCGTGTACAAGACTTGGAGTCTATATGCTTAGTGGTTATATCACATAATTCAGGGAAGCCGGACAAATGAGTAATGAGTCCACGTGTGGCGATAGGTTCAGGGTGAAGGGATCTCCAAATCTAGTTGCTGGGCACTTAGGTAGTAAAGTAAGGCTTAGATATTGTTACTTAGTAATTTTAGTGACTCAAGGTATTTCTTCTGCAAAAGAGCAGTAGCTGAACAAGGAGTCTTCCAAATCCAGTCATTAAGAGGAATAATATCCCACTTTCTCCTGCGTCGTAATGGAGAAGTGAGGATGGGAGTCTTGGAGAGGGAGTCTTAGTGTTGGCAGTGGACCCCACCTGCACAAGGGTCTTGAGGGCTGATAGAATACTGGTGGGAAAGGGGAGATCGATGGAGTGTATTAAAAACAGGAGAATATGAGACTTCACATTATTTGGTCCAGCCCCTTCAATTTGCAATAATTGGTATTGAACTGACATTTTTCTTTCCATTGTAGCTTTTCAAGTTCCAATGAAATTTTTTTCTGAGTTGCTTTCATGGTAGAAGTAAATCTTCACGTTTGAATTTCCTAATTGTTAATTTGGCTCCTTACTACAGGTGTGTTTTTCCTAACTTGAGCTTTAAATATAATTTCTTCTCTTCAATTATGTTTGAAGATACTGATCGTATCAATATTTTTGCAGGCAACATTAAATTCTAGTTAAATTTAAAGCTTTTATAACCATAATTTTTCAGTTCACTATGTGATAATTTTAAATAATTAAATCAATTACATTTTAATATTAATTTTAAAAGAGTTAAAGTAATTTATAGAGAGAACTGAATCTTCATACCCACTTTTAAATGTCTTTACCTTTTAGGTAAGTATACTTATTGAAAGCCTACTTATCAATAACTGTTTGTAGAATATTTGCAGAAAGAAGTTTAGGACTTAAATATATAGAATTCAAAATCTTTTTTTCCCCATACACAAATATTAACCATATTTTCAAGTCATGGAAAAGTTTTGTCTTTCCACTAACTACTAAACCATTAATCGACAAGTACTTACTGCCATTCTGCTGATGATATACATTTGTTATAGGTATTTATATATTTACTTTAGAATTTAGTTTTTGCATGATTATAACATTATATTTTTCTCATCGGTTTTTATGGGCATAAACAGATACGAGATCCAAAGACACTTCTTCCAATGCCAGGAATCATGGTTGGTGACATAGGGAAGAAACTTGGACAGAATGGTTTGGACAATGGGTAAGTGAATACATCCCATTGGAGAAGTGCAGTTTGGTCCTACTTGAAATGATGTGTTTAAAATTATTTATGAATTAGATTCTTACTAGAAACCTAAGGCTCCCCTCCACTGCACCCCCTCCCCAGCAAACAAAAAAAAAAAAACTGAGACCCAGAGTTTGCAGAGTTAGGACTAGAACTCAGATATTGTGATTCCCAGTTTCATCAGTGTGGAAAGAGTGCTGGACCTTTGTGACCTTGGATAAATCACTTTATCTTTTATGAGACTTGATTTCCTCTGTGTGTAATATGGGTATTCATTGCACTATATGCCTCACATTGTCACACGAAAAGTACTATGTAAGACTTACAATGCTCTCTAAGTTCTGTGTGGAACTAGTGGCATGGGAGCTGAGCTTGGAAGGGTTTACATGATTCCAAGACATTTGAGGTGAGAAAGGAGTGTATTCCAGGCATGGGGGACAGTTCATGCAAAAAACACAAAGACTGGAGAAAGAATGTGGAAATGAGGAGCACAGCTAAGAGGCTAGTTTCTTTGTATCATAGATAGCATAAATAGTAAATAAGTGAAATGAGTTTGCAAAATACAAATAAAAGATGGGGGAGGTTTGGCTAGCAGAATAAGCACCCTTTGTCACATCAAAGATATATCAAATCAACAAGCATTTTGTAAGCACCTACTGAATGCCAGGCACTATGCTAAGCCCTAGACATACAAAGAAGGACAAAAACAGTCCTTACTATCAAGGAGCTCACAGTCTAATGGGGGAGACAACATTCAAACAACTATGTATTAAAAAGATGTATATATAGGACTAACTGGATATAATCTCAGAAGGAAGGCACTTGCAGAATGTAGGATTTTAGCTGAGACTTGAAAGAAGCCAGGGAAGCTAGGAGGTAGAAAGAAGAAGTGAGAGCATTCCAGAATCAGAGGTCAGCCAGTGACTGTGCAGACAGTCAGAAAATCTTAGTGTCTTGTACAAGAATAACAGCACGAATGTCCATGTCACTGAATGACAGAGTACGTGGAAGAGAACAAGGTATAAAAAGACCAAGTTATGAAGGGCTTAAAAAGCCAAATGGAGGATTTTATGTTGGGTCTTGAAAGTAATAGGGAACTGTTAGAGTTTGTTGAATGGGGATGGGGGTGGGCTGAAGTGGTCAGACCTGTACTTTAGGAAGATTCATTTGACTCCAGAGGAGAAGAGAGACTAAAATGGGGAGAGACTTGAGGCAGGGAGACCAGCCAGAGGTATATGTCTCTCTTCATGTTCTGCCTTCATGTCCAGCCTGCTAACACTCAGCAAATACTTCTTCATTACCTTCTGTATTATCTGGGCAACTGACATTCTTCATGCGCTTATTTTTTCCTCTGTGGGTTGGTAGGGAACATATATTAAAAAAGAAGATTGAATCAGTCAATTGAGAAGTAACTAGTAAATTGTCTAGGACTTCACTGATGTCCTTATGATGTCTGGAGAAAGTGAGATAGCCCCACAGCATTATGGGTAGACCCTCCATGATGGAGAGAACATCCACATTGGTAAGATCACATCCATTTGAGTCTTCATACAGTACCTTTTCACCAGAATCAATATGTAAAAATCCAGTTTACAAGAAAGAAAAATTAAGGAGTGATTTAGTATCAGCACATTCATGCCAGGACAGGATCCTCTATAGAACAGGCTTCCTCAATGAAGTATGATTAAGGTTATGATAACTCTGATTTATGTGCTACCTTTCAGTAATATATCTCTTTTCTGGCTCCCTTGAAGTCCTGCATACCTCATCATGGTATGTAAGTGATTGTAGGGTCTTGAAGGCCATGTTTGGGGAGCACAGAAAGGTTCCAAGCACTGGCTTGATGATGGGCAGACCTGCAGACCTCAATGCAGAGAAGGCCCTTCATAGGCAGAAGGCTGGTGACCAGCTAAGGAGTGTTTTCAGTCTCAGTAACTTCAGAAGACAGTCTGCTCAAATAGAGAGGGATTAAGATCTGCCCTGGGGACAGGAATCCCCAGGAGCACCCTAATGAGTGGCTATTGTGCAAAATGATTGGCCCCTTTCATTTGTTTTCCCTCTGAAGCCAGATTGCCCAGGCTTGGACAGAGACCAAGGAAAGGTGATTCCTTTCCTCAGCACTCACAGGGTTTTTTGTTCCACAGTTGTTGTTTGATCGTGTAACATAGAGACAGGGGGGGCTTGATGCTGAGGCATAAAATACTTTTTTTTTCCCCCTGAACTTTTATTTTTGCCAATTAACAAGCGTTTTATCTTCTCTCCCTCCCACCGCCATTGGAAAAAAAAAAGAAAAAGAAAACCCTAGTAAAAAATATGTGTAAGTGAGCAAAATAAATTCCCATATTGGCCATGTCTGAAAATTTATGTTCATTGAGTGTGCCTCTTCTCTGTTGGGAGGTAGACGACATGCTGCATCGTTGGTCTTTGGAAACCATGGTTGGTCACTGCACTAATCAGAGTTCTTAAGTCTTTCAGCTTTGTTTTCACAGTGTTATTGTTATTGTATACATTGTTCTCTTAGTTCTGCTCACTTAACTTCATAAAATACTCTTTCCAAACTAGGTTTAAGGTTCTTGGACATTAACATTGTGCAAATACTATTTTTTATTCACTTTTCTTAAATTTAAATTTTATTTATTGTTTTTATATGGCCTTCCAGCTTTTCGTTATTTCCAAGGATACAGATACCTACTAGCTGTGTGACTCTAGGCAACTCACAAAATCTCTCTGAGCTTGTTTCATCCACTGTAAAAGAGGATAATGATAGCACTTATTTCCCTCCCAGAATTATTGTGAGGATTAAATGAGATCACATATATAAAGCTCTTTGCAAACCTAAGTGCTATATACATGTTAGCTATTATTATTGTTGTTGTCATTATTATTATCATTATCATTCAGAAGCTGACATACTTATTTACAGTAAACCCCCTCAGTGCTCCATGGGTCTTTGATTTCATTGTACTCCCACTCCAACAGCCCTCTTTACTGCTTAGTAGACAGTTTGTTTTGAGTTGCTGTGATGGAAAAAAATATCATGGAAAATCCTGCCTTCTAGTGATGAACCTGTCTAAACTTAGCTAGATTTATATACAGGCAATAGATATTGAGGCCTTTATTGGGCCTGACCCAAGAGTTGCCAAAGATAATGCTCTGCTGGAATAGCTTTTTTTTTCCCTCTAAACTCCAAGGACATTTCTATTCCATGAAAAGCTATTGGGAGGAAACTTTAGCAAAGAATGGTAAATTAACAAAATGTAATGGGTTCTTATTTCTGTAATCAGTATTAGAACAAAGACTGTTAGAGTCAGAAGGAATCTAGCTCAACCACCTCACTTTACAGAGGAGAAAACTGAGGCCCAGACATGGAGAGTGACTTGGCCAGTTTTATACAGCTAATTATTGGCAAAGCCAAGACTAGAAGTCATGTTTCCTGACTTTTAATCTGGTGCTTTTTCTATCACACTATATATTGCCTCTATTTGCTTTCCTATTTTAAAAATCAACATCTTGTGGATTCTTCATTAAAAAACATTCAACTTGGTTCCACCATACTGCCATTAAACTGCCTTGTCTGGCAGGTGACTATTTGCTGGGGGTTTTTTTCCCCACAAAATCCCTAAATAAGATTACTTAAAGTAAGTTGCTTTTTCATTTATTCAATTAGCTACACGTAACATTTGTTCAACAAGTAAATTCATTTACGTAGCAACAATTTACCATATTGCTGTAGAGCATTAAGGTTTACAATGCTTTTTTTTTCACAACAGTCTGGGAAGGTAGGTAGTACAAGTCCCCATTTTACAGATGAGGAAACTGAGGTTCAGGGAAATTATATGACTTATCCATGGTCACAGCTAGAATTCAAACCTAGGCCTTCTGATTCCAAGTGCAGTGCCCTTTTCTCTATTTTTATTAGTTACTGAAATAAATTCTTACAGGCACTGGGAGAAATATGGAGTTAAGTAAGTACAGGCCCTATCCTCAAGGAGATCCTTTTCAAGGTATCTCCTTGGCCAGATTTCTTAATTCTCTGTTGTCTGTTGGCAATGCAGTAAAGCATTAGAGGAAGTTTGCTCTTCTCTTTTCAGAAATGGGAAACAAGATAAAATTATGTGTGTGTCGAAATAAAGTATCATTCAGTTCTTTCAGTCTCCTGCTGGTTGTGGCTTCTCGTAATCAGCTTCCTGTCTTTCTTCATTTCCCTTGGAGGAACATTATTACTTCCCAAACTTAACTCCGTTTTCAATAGTACAAACTCCCCTTTCCTGCTCCTCCCTCCACCCTACCCCCTAATGACTTGTCTCCTATCTGGAACAACTCCAATGTTCTTTTCCCTCCTGTTTCTCCTATATATGTAGGAGAGTGTGGTGGAAAGAACCTTGGGCCAGTAATCAGTTATTCTTCTTTGTTTTCGATTGGCTATGGAGTCTTTGGCAAGTCATGTTTTTTTCCTGGGCCTCAGTTTCCTCACCAATTAAATTAGAGGGTTGAGAAACATTATATCTGAGACCCTTCACAGTTAAAAAAAAAATTGTGCCGTTCTCTTCCTCTGTCCATTCTGTTTAGGAAAAAGCCTGCACGTGGGATCAGAGGATGTCCCCGGCCAGGGGTGTGGTCTTGAGGCCACAGGTTCCCCACCCCTGGCCCAGGACTTTTTTCACATTCGGTTTCTTTATCTTTAAAGTGGAAAAGCTATAATCAGACTACTCACCTCACAGGATCATTTCCAATAAAGTGCTTTGTAAAGCTGAAAACAATATATAAATTTTAATTCCTATTTTACATTTAGTACTAGAAAGGTCCCCGAAGATAATACAGTACAACCTTCCCAGTTTTATAGGTGAGGAAACCAAAACCTCGGGACATTGATTAACTTGCCCAGAGTCACACAAGTAGTCGGTAGCTAAGTCAGGATTTGAAGTGCGGTCCTCTGACTACAAATCCCGTATTTCTTCCATTGTACCACGCACCTT